TGGACCAATCAGCCAGAAGCCCAAAACAGTGTATAACGGTGTAAAGCCAGATCCATCACTAGGGCGCAAGTCTGATATATGAGAGAAGGAAGCGGCCTCAATGAGGGAAGGACGACGGCCATTTTGTTGTAGCCCGGAAGACGCGTTATGGCGGAATTTTTTTTCACGAATGCTTATGGTTAAATTGTGAGGCTGAAGAGTATGTGTCCAGTGAGGAGGAGGAGGAGGAGGTAATAATGTCTTCTTATTATGAGGGGAGGAAGAGAGAAGGGGTCCCAACACTCTGTGTGGACTGGATGGGGGGGATCATGTCACCTCAACAAATCATCATCATCCTGCAAGTCCTCTCTGCTGGGGCTGGAGCATATGGCATTGGGGGCATATTTCCTGGGATAACCTGTGGGTAACACAATTGCTCCCAGCTCATGTGATTAGAAAGTAGAAATGGAATCAGACCGTAGATGCCTCAGAGCTGACTCTGATTAAACAAAGTAAGGTTTCAGTGATTACAGGTTCCTTATTGAAGCAGTGGCAGCCATAAACCTAAAAAGGGGTAACATCTCCCACTTGACCTGGATCCTGCAGGACTGACCCATGATATCACCAAGATCCTTGTGACCTACTGCAGCCAAAGCGTGTTCAGGAGCCAATGCCAGGATTTTGATGGACCCACGGACCATCAACGCAAGGCATTCTTCCTCCCACTGATCACCAACACTTGGGCATTCTTCCTCCCACTGACCACCAACACTTGGGCATTCTTCCTCCCACTGACCACTAACACTTGAACATTCTTCCTCCCACTGACCACCAACACTTGGGCATTCTTCCTCCCACTGACCACTAACACTTGGGCATTCTTCCTCCCACTGACCACCAACACTTGAACATTCTTCCTCCCACTGACCACCAACACTTTAACATTCTTCCACCCACTAACCACCAACACTTGAACATTCTTCCACCCACTGACCACCAAATTTGGGACATTCTTCCACCCACTGACCACCAACTTTGGGGCATCCCTTCCCCTGCTGGCCCAAACACTTGCACATTCTTCCTCCCACTGACCATCAACACTGGACATTATACTACCCACTGACCACCAACTTCAGGACATTCCTCTTCCCACTGACCATCAACGTTGAGCATTCTTCCCATTGACCACTAGCATTGGGCAATTTTTTTATCCCACCAACACCAGGCATTTATTTTTCTTATAGACCACCAACACTGGGGCATTCTTCCTCTCACTGACCATCAACACCTGGGCATTTACTCCTCCCACTGACTATCACTGCCAAGCATTCTTCCTTCCACTGACTACCAATGCTAGACAATCTTTCACCCACTGACCACCAACACTGGGCAGTCCTCCACCCAATGACCTTTAACACCAAAACATTCTACCACAAAAAACAAGGACATTCTTCCTTTCACTGACCACCAACACGAGGCCATTCTTCCTTCCACTGAACACCAACACGAGGCCATTCTTCCTTCCACTGAACACCAACACGAGGCCATTCTTCCTTCCACTGACCACCAACACAAGGCCATTCTTCCTTCCACTGACCACCAACACAAGGCCATTCTTCCTTCCACTGACCACCAACACAAGGCCATTCTTCTTTCCACTGACCACCAACACAAGGCCATTCTTCTTTCCACTGACCACCAACACAAGGCCATTCTTCCTTCCACTGACCACCAACGTAAAGTGAAAAAGGAAATACTTTCTTCTAATAGTCTTTAACAGCAGCGGGTTGGTAACATTTTAGATCTGGTAAGTATTAATTAGACTACGTCATAAGGGAGGTGCTGTTTTCTGTGGTGCCGGGACCCTGAGGAAGTCTTCCCTGGCCACACCCCCACGTCACGTTACATGCACTGAAATAAGCCAAATATGATTTACACAACTCCATTTGAATTTCTAGAAGAAAAGGATTGATTGCTGGTGTTGATTTCTTCACCTTAATCTCTTGTTCTACTTACAAATACAAACTTTTTGGGATTTAGATATTTGTGAGATTTTAATGTTTTTGATTTTATTTGGTTTATTGCAGTATGAGACGTCCTTACAAAAATACAGACGTGCACAGACCAGTGGGAGTATTTAGGACACAAGGATCTGTAGAAGGACGTCATGATGGTGAAGCGGCCGCCCCTCACATCACCGGGTAAGAGGAGACATTCATTTCTTGTAAAGGAGAGAAGAGTATTGAGGTGGGGTGATGAGCCATGTGAGGGGTGATGAGTCCTGTAAGGAGAAGGAAATCCCTTCAGAGATAAGCATAGGTGAGGAATAAACACTAAATTCAGAGAAGAGTCCCAGATTCTCCTTGTTCAGTCACTACAACAATCTCTTCTTCTCCACCCTCCTCTGTCAGTAGACAGGAATGGGGGGATGGAATGTGTTTAGTGGGGGGAGTCAGGAGCCATCAGCCTCTATTAGACTCCGGCGCTCCTCCTCACATCATGTCATTGTGTGTTACCAGCCAAGAGACGTGACCAGTCTTCACATCCCCCCCACTCTCCCCCCCCCTCTCTCTCTCTCTTTCCCCTCTCTTCTTTGTTCACAGACCCCGGACACACTCGGAAAGATGCCAAAGCTGAGGAGGAGGAAGAAGGACATGTAAGGATTAAAGAGGAGGAAATTCCTTTAGAGATCAGCACTGGTGAGAGATGTGTTCAGTATAAAACATCTTCACAGCCTATTCTTGTTTTGGAGGACACTTTGTATTGTCCGTTTAATTCTGTATCATCATTGAACTTATTTATCTACATGTGTGTTTCCTACAGATGGATCCAGGAAGAGAAATACACCAGAGAGATGTCCCCGTCCTCTGTATTCCCGGGACTCCACACAGGAACATCAGGAGATCCCTCAGGCCCGTCCTCTGTATTCCCGGGATTCCACACAGGAACATCAGGAGATCCCTCAGACCCGTCCTCTGTATTCCCGGGATTCCACACAGGAACATCAGGAGATCCCTCAGACCCGTCCTCTGTATTCCCGGGATTCCACACAGGAACATCAGGAGATCCCTCAGACCCGTCCTCTGTATTCCCGGGATTCCACACAGGAACATCAGGAGATCCCTCAGACCCGTCCTCTGTATTCCCGGGATTCCACACAGGAACATCAGGAGATCCCTCAGACCCGTCCTCTGTATTCCCGGGATTCCACACAGGAACATCAGGAGATCCCTCAGACCCGTCCTCTGTATTCCCGGGATTCCACACAGGAACATCAGGAGATCCCTCAGGAGGATCAGGTAGATGTGATTAGAGTTGTAAATGAGTACAGTGATTGGGTGTTGTGAAGGCAAGTGCAGAGGAAATGAGGCTGTGATCCATTGTAAATGCTACCTGCCCCGCCGCATTTGTAGATTTAGTTTAAATGTATTTGCTGTTTCTATTTCTTTTTTTATTCAGGAAGAAAATCTGGTCATTGTTAAAGTCGAAGTTAAAGAGGAAGCAGAAGAGACGTCTGGGATGGATGAAGAGCCGTGTAAGGAGGAGGAACGTTCTCCAGAGATCAGCACAGGTGAGGAATAAACACTCAATCGAGAAAAGAGTCCCAGATTCTCCTTGTTCAGTCACTACACCAATCTCTTCTTCTCCCCCCTCCTCTGTCAGTAGACAGTAATAAGGGGACGGAATGTGTCTAGTGGGGGGAGTCAGGAGCCATCAGTCTCCTTCTGTTCATGTTATATTACAATCTCAGTGGTTATGTTTTGGACCTGATCACAAATTTGGTCCGGATTAAAGGTTTCCGTACTTATATCTGCCGCCTGGTCTGATTATTTATATATATATTTATATTTATATATATATATATAAATATATATATATATATATA